TAGGATGGGCTCAGGATCCCTGGGTGACATGGCGTGGTCCTAGCCGTGTTCTCCCTCTTCAGCTGGTGTGTGGTGGGCTCAGGACATGTGGGAGTCACAGCAAGGTCCTGGCTGGGTTTCCCCTCCCCCAGCCGGGGTGTGGTGGGCTCTGGACCTGTGGATGTCACTATAGGGTCCTGGACCCTATCTCCCTTCCCCAAAAGGGGTGGGGTGGCCTCAAGACACCCACTTGTTCCTAGGGTTGTCTATTCTGACCTCTAAGGACCCTAGAGGAGCTCAGACATTTTGTTGCTTTCATATCCTCCTTCCCCATTTTCCCCTAACTCCTGACCTGTTGTGTCAGCTTAGGTTGAGCCAGAGCTTCTTTTGTGGAGGGAGCTGAGAAAGATGAGTGAGACTGTCACCCACAAGCTGTTAATTGGGGCCTTTCAGACCGACCCCAACAGCACCCTCAGGGCAGCCCAGTCCTGATCACCCTGGTGTCTCCCCCTATTTCCAACATGTGGTTTCCAGGTCAGAGTTGCTCCCAGTAACAACCCAGTCATGTTGGGGCTTGCACCCACAAGCCCTGGGCAGGCAGCAAAACATGTCTGCTCCAGGGCATCCAGGCAAGCGAGCCACCTCTGGTTTGTGTCAGATTCTGGCTGCCTGGAGACCAAGGTTCTGACTTCTGAGTGGCTCATGAAGGGTTGTAATGTCACTTCCTGTGTTCTGTTCCTTGAACTTCCCCCTCTGTCAAGATTCTCCAATAACACTGGGCTCAGCTGCTCCTTCTGTTCAAGCCTGTCCATGCCAGGGACACCAACACCAGGCACAAGGCCCAGGGGAGCTGTTTTCAGGCAGGGCCCAGCAAGGGGCAGAGGAAGCTATGGCCTTGGGGAGCTTTGGGCTTGGGGAGCTGGGGATTAAAACCCCTGGGCTCTCAGGAATCTGAAGCCTTGGGGACCTGCAGACTCCTGCATTTGGGGCCTGGGGAGCCTAAGTAGCCCTGTGCCCTTCTGTCCCTGTATCCATGTGCATTGGACGTGGCCTAGCTCCCTCCCCAAGATTGTCATGGAGTGAACACATGGTTCCTGACTTTCTTGAAGGACAAGCTGTTCTGTCCTTGGCTCATGCCCAGACACAAGTAGGGCCTGCAGTCTCTCTGCCTCCCATTATTCTCCTTTTCTGCTCTTCCTTTCTCCTTCTCACCCTCCATTGATCTTCTTCCTCATTCATCCCTGAATCCTTTTGCTGAAATATCCTCCTCACCTTCATGGAGAGTCTGTGGTGTGCTTTGCTCTGTGGGCATGAGAGAAGCATCACTTGGTCCTATGTTCTCCTCCTGGTTAAATTTACTCCCATTGTTTTTAAGAAGTGGTTGTTTTGAATAGGGAGGTTGAATGGGAGCAACCAAAGGCTTGGGGATTCTCAAAGCATATTGCCAATACTATACTTTGGTGGACAGATTCAAGGTAGAAGTGCTTGGAAGGGTTCATTCTAAGGTTTGTTTAGAGCAGAGATTCTTTTTAGCAGTCTTTCTCAGAGACATTCCAGACAGTTACAATGTTAAAAAAAAAAAATGTGACTGTGCATAACATCACATATCACTTGAATATATAGAGTTCAATCAAAATGTTCTTGAAGAATGCATTGAATACTTCTGAGCTCCAGTATGCATGCACGTTCTGGGTGATAAGGGACCTGGGCAAGTCACCCAGTTGCCCCCTGTCCCAGGTCATGGAATTGAGATGATACAGAATTTGTCTTTCTCCTTCTGACTTAATTCGCTGAACATCATCCCCTTCAGTCTCATTTATGTTGTCACAAATGGCAATATTCCACCTGTTTTTTGAATATTTATTAGTACCCCACTGTGTATATAGACCACGTCTTTTCCCCTGCGCACTTGGGTTGTTTCCATAACTTGGTTCAATTCTATCAACTCTGTCCCCTAAGATTCTGTGTTTCTTTCCTTTCCACACCTTAGCACAGGTTACTCTATCTCTTTTGATGTGTTAGTCTCCTTTCTCTGCTCTCCTCTTGCTCCTGGTGATTCATTCTTTTAGTAAGGTTGAGTACCGTTCGAGCTTTCATCTTTGTGGGTCTCCCTGTTGGAAGCTCTTTCTCATTATCCGGTGAATCGACTTTGATTTGTAAATGTCTGCATGTCTTTCTTACACCAGCAACCACTGCTTGGATTATTATTTTTATTATACTCTTGCCCCTCAAATGGGACAGTGGACACTCAGCACATGTGCCGCAGACCAGCTTAGCGGCGGCGGGAGATCGAGACAATCTCAGGGTTGAGTGAGAACGAGCAAAAGGTGGTCGAAGGAATTAGGGCGGGGGACAAGAAAGAATGACACACAGACACACTCAAGGGAGAGTGAAAATCTGAGTGTAATTTGCTCAAATCATTACACATATTTATACATTTTCAAAAGGCATTAGGTCACACAAAATCTATTTTCCCAGCATAACAATGTTTCTTGTTACCTAGGCATAGAATACAATTTTCTAGCTAATAGTTTACAAGTTGCTAAGCATATGTGGTTACATTTCCTGAAACTGATTTTTACATATCTAGAAAAAGTCAGGTAAGAAAATTAATTATGGACAAGTTGCTAAGTTACTACTTATTCAGAAACAATGATTAACTGGTTAATGGTTAAACTGCTTTGTAGGTAATTCCATCAGGCTTGTTTGTAGGCAACGCTCTTAGCAGCCTTGTTTTCAAGCAAAGAAGGTGTTTTTCACTGCAGGCTTATTGCCTAGATTGGGCTTATAGGCTTGTAGGCCTTGTTTGATCTGAACGCCAAAGTTTATTATGATGAAGCCCCTTGGGGACTGCGCCTGTCTTAGGTCGTCAGGAGTCACAGACATGAGGCTGGCCAGTTCCTTCGTTAGTCTGCCCCCGATCTTACCTGTCATTGACTGTCCAGTCCAGCGCACAGGGAAAGAGGGTCTTACGTACTCTATTTGTGAGCATCCACAGTACAGCCACTCTTTATTTCATCCAATTACTGGCGAGCAATGGTGGCAACAGTGGCATTGCCAACCATGGAGGCAGGAGCTGCCACACACATGGACACACACCTCTTTGATCAATTCCCACATGCTTACATGGAGCATGTCGTCAGTTTCAGGCTTGTTGACTAAATGAACAAACGAAATGAGGTGGATGAGAGAGTGTGTGTTCAATGTGGTTGCGTAAATAAGAATATCTTTCTCAAAGCTCTAATTGAGACTGTTCCTGAACAATCTCTGAACAAGGATTCTTGGACAATCCTTGTCTTCCAGATGTGAGAGGGAAATCAATATGCCCTCCTTTGATATCTCTCCAACTGTGACTGTGGAGGACATGAGCACAACAACCCTATTTTAGAATATCCTGGCATTGGCCATATTACTGCCTGTGGTTTCTTTTAGTTTGAACGAATTCCATGTCTGGGAAAGTCAGCTCTAAATCTGACTGCTATGGTACAGCCAGGGTGGACGGCCACAGCACATGCTACAGAGGCTCAACAACGCTCTTTGAATCCCCTCGCCTCAGTAGTTATACAGAACCTCGGACCTCTAGACCTGCTGATGGCTAAAGTCAGACGAGGCTGTGCCCTCATAAATGAAACATGTTGTCTTTGGATTAAACGTCTAGTGAGGTAGAAGAAAACCTGGAGGTATTAAAGAGAAACGTCTGTATTACAGACACAATTTAAAGACAGGCAGGACAAGGGCCTAGCTGGCTACAATCAATCTTTCCCTTCGTAGGAAATCAATTTCTGTCCTGGTTGTTCCCCTTGCTCATTCCCGTACTAATTTTCTATATTATTCTCTTGTGTGTACCCTGTGTCCTCAGCGCCCTTGTCAGAATCATCTTCTCTCACCTCCATCAGTTGGGGCACGGTATGACGCCTCCACTGTCCTTCCTCCAAGGTCCCTGAGCACGTCGCCCTGTGGTGGAGCCCTGACTGCTTCCCCACGTTGCCGTTTTCCAGCAGGAAGCAGTTACAGAGCAGACCGATGCCCTTTGTCCTAACAGCAGTCAGGGGATCCATCTGCAGAGGGGGATGAGTGCCAGGGCAAGTTAGGGTTAATGGGGCAGCATCAGGGACAGCACAGGCAGGGGCTTTGGAGAGTTCAAGAGGCTTCTGAAAAAAGGGTAGAGAAATTCAGGAGGGCTAATAAGGGCAGTAAATTTTAAGGTTAATATTTAAGGCTAATTGGGACAGTACATTTTAAGAGCCCTTGGACAGGGAGGATAAAAAGAGAAATTCTAAGATAAGAGCTGGGAAAATGGGCACTTCAGCCTGCAGGCATATAGACACTAGGAGAAAGAGCCAATCACAAAATAGGATGAGCAGGTTTTAAAATAGAGAAAAGGGGTTTTAAATATCTCCTAGACATGGACCCATAACAGTGTCTCTTGCCCCTCCTTGACATTGCTGCCTTGGGGGTCCTTGCTCCTGTTCTTTTTCCTCAAAATAAACTTTATTTTCTTGATTAAAGCTTGCTTATTATCTTGAATAAGGTTGCTCTCTCTGCTAACTTACCTGAAAAGTCTTTGAATTCCTCATTATGTCTTCATGGGAAAAGAAACTGTGGTAGTGCAAGGGCTAAATTAGAGAACACTCTGGTTTCAACAGAACCCCATTGGTGTTAGGGTAAATGTAGGCCCTGTTGAAGAGAATTCCTCCTCAGTAAAGAGGACTCCTGGGGATGCTAAACAAAATAGAGGGGGGCAGGAGCCTTCTGTGGCCCTTTGATCTTCCCTGACAGCTTGCTGAGTCTGCTGAATTCCCTCCAGGTGCCGGAGACCCATGGCCTTGACAGCCAAATAAAGATGCCAGGTTCCTTGGTGGTGTCCAGGCCTGGGGCTGCAGTGCTAGTTCTGGCCACAGGGGAGCAGCAGGACTCCTGTGCCAGGGGTGTCCTCTGAGCTTTGCTGGGCCATGTGGTCACTGAGAGCCCATTGTGATGACCCCTGATTCAGATACACCTTGACCTCCTGTGACCAGGGTCAGCCTGTGCAGTGTAGCTGACTAGAGAGAAGAGGCTCTAAGGTTTCTCATTTAGGGCCAACACTGTCCCTGTGCCAGGTGACCTACAAGGCCCAGCAGTGTCTGAACATCACCCTCACCAGGCCCTGCCATAATGGAGCTGTCGATGTGAAAGGGGCATGTCAGAACATGAAAGTGAAGATGTGAATGATATGAGCTTGTGCCCTTCTGGAATCACAGTGTGTACGGAGAGGGAGGTCTGGGGTTCTCATGGGAGGGGTGTCTGGTGGCCTCACTTGTGACAGTTGGGAGCCAGCCTTTCTCAGGGTGGGGTCAGTGTATCAGGGAGAAACACCACTACTGCAGACTCTCATGGGCAGAAGTGAGTTCCTTCAGAGGCAGTTAGAGTCAGTCAGTGTCACTACAGGGGACATGGGGGGAGACAGGGCACAGGAGGGAGGAAGGATGAGTGCAGGAGGATGAGGATAATAGGAAGGGAGGAGGGCAATACTTGCACCTTAACCTTAGTGACAATCTCATACATGTGTGAGCCAACTGTCTGGATATGGTGGGATTTGTTCTGCAGCCTCAGGTATCTCAGAGGCCAAGGATTTAGACCCAAATTCACCCCCAGGGTTTAGGTTGAGGTTTGGACAAAGTGCCTGAATTCTACTCTGTGTTGCCTGAGCACTGCCTGGAAGCTCTCCTATGTGGCCTCTGCTTAGGGCAGATCACACCTGTGTGTGTCTTCCTCAGTTCAAGAATGTGGGAATATGCAAGAGAACGGCATCTGGTGAGGAAAGGAAGGAGCTTGGAAGGAAGGTGCTGTATTTATATGAAAGGGAGATACGTTTTGATGTTGAAATATAGCCACGGAATCCACCCTATTTAGTTGTGTTCTGTTAGTATCCAGGCACTGACCACTTTGTGGTGAGCGTGGCATGTATATGCTCTGGATGGGTTTCGCGAGTCACTGTGGATTCAGCCCTCATCTGGGTAAAGATGAAGCCTTTTGAGTCTCAGTCTCATTTGAATAGGAAACATTTCTACTCTTTATGCCAGAAAATGACAATATCTGAATTCACATTAATTTCAACTTCCTTGGGGAACAGACACTGCAACCAGGTATGTGGGAAGTGAAAGTGACAACATGCCCAGGCCGGAGCCCACTCCTGTCTCGGCAGTGCTCCCCTACCTGTTCCCGCATCTGTGTCCGCCAGACCACAAGTGCTGAGATAATATCACACACAACAGATGCTGTTCCCAGGAGGTGATTCTGATGGACCCCACTGTGCAGGCTTAGAAAGAGGGGGTGCCTGAGGGAAACAGGATGTTTTAAGGACACAGAGCCTAAAGAAAGGATACCTGAATTCAGACAAGACCCTCATCTCAGGCCCATCTTCACTTCCCAGATACCTGAGATGAGGCATGTTTTGGGTCAGCATGTACATTAAGGACTTCTTGGGGAAATAAGGCCAATAGCATAGACTGGACTTTGTGGAGGTCAGAATGAAGGAAGCCAATAGTTAATGGATCCTTGAACAAATGACCTTACTTCCTGGTGGTAGGCACCACAGTACATAGAACTCTGCCAACCAGGCATCCACATCCTAGTGATAGTGCTGGACCAGCTCAGTTGCCAGGATACAGTCAGCAGAAGATGTTCTGCTTTTGGCATCTGAACCTTAGAGGCTCTAGATTCAGGCAAACCCAGAGTGTGAGCCTTGATGATGGTTCCCATCTCTGGCTCAGCCGTCTTGGCCACTCTCTCTGGCTGCCCAGGTGTTGAGAATAGACCTGTAATCCCTCCTGAGCATCCCACACTCCTTTTCCCTCATCGTCTGTGTGTGTTTGTGTTGGGAGAAGGTAAAGTTTGAGGGGAATTTTGGAGGGAAGGCACAGGATGACATTGGTGAAAACCTGGTGGGTCAGCCATGTTCCTACCCAGCACATGACTGGCAGCATGAGAATGTGACTGCTAGGAACATCCCATGACCATGTTTTAATCTGGAGTTCTAGATTTCTCAGGTCCTCCTAGCAGGATGTCTTTGCAGCCTCCTCCTATGTCTTAACTGGGTGAAAGGGTGTCTCATGGTGTGTGCCCTGTGGCACTGCAGCCCCTGATACCTCCTCATGTGTCCCCCAGCAAGGTCTACATAGATCTACCCCCACGTGATCATCGATCTACTGGCCAACATTCAATCCCAGTCTCCTAGATAATGTCCACTTTTCCAAGTACCCCAATATTGCCCACAGATGAACTATGATAGAGCAGAAGCACAGGGGCCTCACCGAGGACTTGGGTGGCTAGGCTAGTACTAGAATCCACACTAAAATTCTAGCAACTGTGTGCCTCCTGGGCTTTCCCACATGAACACCCACAGAATCACACCGAACATAAACATGATGACTCCCATAAACATAAATCCAGCATATATGGACAGATTTCCACTCTATGCCCATACAATCCCCAGCAATAAAGACACTAATTTGTCATTATCACATTTTACAAAACATGTCAACTCAAAACTTATCATTGACAAAGTAGAAGTAGCAGGGGATGGAGGAGAAACAGAACCATCCAAAGTGACAGGTGAACATATAACTAGTATTTAAATTTTGTTCTTTCAAATCAGTTTTGCCAAGCTTCTTGCAATTACTCTGGGCTTTAAGGTGACCAATGCAAGAGAGGATCATAAGGCTGGTCAACCACACGTGCTCCTACCTGGCTGGCTCGGCAACTGATAGTGGGGAACATGGGACATTAACTCTGGCCAAAGACAGTGCCCAAATAGTTTAGCAGTCACTGACTGAGTTCTTCACCTGTGTGCACAATTGCAAGACCCCTCAGTTTCAGAAAAATATAATATTGGGATCTGTTTAAAAGCAAGATAAAAAAAAAAAAGGAACCACTAAGGATGTGAGTGGCCCGTTACCTCACCCCAATTAGTATCCAGTGTTCTGATGACCTAAGCAAAGGCAACTAAGATGTGCATTCCCACTATGGAACCTAGAACAAGTATCCAGATAAAAAGGCCACATTCCCAAAGTGGCCTCTTCCCTCCATGAAGAACTGGAACATGTATTCCGAACAAAAGGGCTAAAACAATGTCTCCCTGCCACTGAGGGCGTGGGGCACGTGGTACCAGACACTAGGCCACAATCCAACTCACAGGGACAGCAGAGTACATGGAAGGAGATGCTCACCAGAGATGCAGGGATGGGGCAGCACAGTACAGTCAAGTAACACTGGAAACAGCAGTAGCATTAGTCGAATGGCCATATAAATGACCAAGACTAACAGAGCTCAGTGGGGCGTCCACCTCCAGGTCCTCGTCTTCCCTTCTGGGTTGCAACAGCAACAAAGCAGGAGACAGTTTTAGTTACTCAGCTACATGCAAAGCCTCTCCATTTTTTTCCTCAGAGGTTGCCTGCTAGAATCCTTTCCACATCCTCAGGAGGCACCTGACAGCCTTCTGGAAGATCTGTGTGGTGGGAGCAGAAATGGCTGTCTCTGCAATGGCTTATCCTGGGGGCTGTTCCTTGAGACCCTTATATTCACTATCAAGGTTGCAAACCCACAGACCGTTTTTTTTTTAAACCTGGACATATCCCCCCTGGAGCTATTCATCCTCAACTGTGAACCCTCCTTGGGAAACCACCTATGATAGCCTTGGCTATGGACTCTATTGTCAGCCCTGGTTTCAGTTGCTCCCTGATGCCATAGCAGAAATGACTGGACACTGGACCCAAGCAGCAAAGGACTAAAAACTGAAAGAATGAACTGGATTTCCTCAACTTAAAATGACCAAACAGTAAAAGAAAACAGGAGGTAAAAATGGCTTCTACCAAAAGGGTGAAAATAATGAGACACTATACAAGCAACAATAAGTTGCTGTCCAAGACACAGTAAACACTCTGGATTCTTTTTAATGAGGGTTCAAGAAAGTTTCCGTGAACTTTCCAAGGCCCAATGCCCAGCACCCTGTGTCGCAGCTCCCTCTCATCAAGGAGGGCTGGGTTCACCTGAAGGTGCTGCTGCAGGCCAAGAGCCAGGGGACCCTGCCTAAACAGGACCTGGACACAACACAGATCATGATCCTCCTTGGTACTTAGGTTTGGGATGAGGCTTCTCCCAGGGCAACTGTTCCATTGGCACCTGGGACCCCGGCAGGCCTGCTGGGATAGCCAGACAACACACTGGATACCTCGGGAAAACTTGAATATGCTGGGATACCACCACCCCAGCTGGGGAAACCAGCTAGAGGGCAGGACCCCAAAGTGTCAACTGTGATTTTTGTGCTAATTTCACCACAGCTATGGGAGGTAGAACCACACCTGGAACAAGTCATGGCAACTGAGGTCCCTGACCTAACTCCACCCTGGCTGCAGGAGGGAGAACCGAGCTGAGAACCATTCCCGACTGCTGTGGGAAGTGGGACCGCATGCGGACCCTGTAATGGCAACTGAGATTCCTGAGCTAACTCCATCCCAGCAGGGGATGCCGAACTGGGTAGTTTCCAGTCATGCCAACTGAGATTCCTAAGCTAATTCCACCTGGCTGTGGGAGGTTGAGCCAGGCCAGGCCCTGGAAATGGGAACTGAGCTTCCTGAACTAACTCCACCATGAATAGAACCGGGCCAGGCCCACACCATAGTCACTGAGTTTCCTAGGCTAACTCCACCCTTGGCTGTGGGAGCAAGAACCAAGCTAGGACTCAGTCATTGCAACAGAGGTCCCTGAGCAAATCCCACCCTGGCTGTGAGAGGTAGAACATGGTTAGGAACCCTCAAAAATAATTGAGGATCCTTTGCTAACAACACTCTAACAAGAGGAGGTAGACCATGACAGTTCCTAGTAACAGCAACTGAGGTTCTTGAGCTTATTTGACCCTGGCTGCTGGAGGTAGAACCAGGTCAGGAAACCACAACAAGAAAAAATTATGTTTATGAGTTCATTTCACCATTGCTGTGTAAGGAAGAACTGGGCCAGGACCCAGTAATTGGAATGGAGGTTTCGGCGCTAATTCCACTCTGTCTGTTGGAGCGAGAACCAGAACAGGAACAGGCAAAAAACTACTGAGGTTCCTGAGCTAATAGCTCCCTGGTGGTGGGATGTAGAACAGGGGCAGGAATCCTCAAAACAACTGAGGTTCCTTTGCTTACAGCACCCAACGTTTGGGAAGTAGAACCATGACAGGACCCAGGAAAGGCAACTGAGCTTCCTGAGCTAACTCCATCCTGGCTGCGGGAGACAGAACTGGGCCAGCACCTGGTAATGGCAATGGAGGTCCCTGATCTAACCCCATCTCCCTGGGGGAGGGAGAACTGGACCAGGAGCACACAACAACAACTGAGTTTCCTGGGCTAACAACACCCGGCTGGGGAAGGCAGAAATGGGCCAGGACCAGATAATGGCAAATGAGGTCACTGAGCTCACAACACACAGGCTGGGGAAGGTGAACTGGGCAAGGATCCATTAGGCAACTGAGGTTCCTGATCTACAACAATTCTAATCCCCTGGAGGGGAGAAACCTGGGCTGGGACCTGGTAAAGCAATGAAAGTTCCTGAGCTAAGTCAACCCTGGCTGGGAAGGTCGAGCCCGGCCAGTGTCCTGTTGGTCTAAGCACCTGGGCAGCTGAGCACCCAGCATCTGGGCTGTGGGAGCATCCTCTTCACCCGCCCTTCAGAATACAGGCACCCGAATACCTTCCTTCTGACCTTGTTCCAGAATCCCCATTCCCCTCTATTGATGTGTTTTAATAATCTTTGTTTTTAATTTTTTAATTTTATATTTGTTACAGTTTCATCTATATATTAGTTTTAATATATCCTCGATTAATAAATAATAATAATTATATGCTTTGATTAAATTGCACACTCCTTGGGCTATAAGAGCATTCAAAGCGAGACTTCCTCCCTGTTATCCACTTGCAGATGCTGCAGCTCCCCAACGGAAACCCTGCACCCCAGCTCTCACTGGCCCGGGCCAGGCCCTGCATGCCATCTGCATGCAGGTTCTCTTCTTCCCCCGACAAAGGTGACTTCAGCATCCGCTGATGACTTTTCTGGGAAAGGTAAACCCAGGTGGTTCAAAAGGACACAAAAATTGAGTCTCTGCAGTGAGGATGTGCATACATTTCCAATGGTGACCACAGCCTTAAGGGACACCAGAGCAGGACATAAAGGGTCACACCTCCTCTCCTGGGGCCACAGCCTAAACAAGGAGGAGGTGGCCAATGCAGAGATGGAAACACACAAAGGCGCTGCCTCCCTGGAGGCCCAGCGAGCTGGGCCCTGAGCTGGGCCCTGGCCAGTCCACCCACACTTCCTTCCCAGGTCTACACTCATCTCAGCATTCCCCGGAGGCCTGCGGTGGCCCAGGTGACCCAGAACTGAGCTGCAGCAGGAGCGGGGCTGCAGCAGCAGCAGCAGCAGCAGCAGCAGCAGCAGCAGCAGCAGCAGCGCGGGCCTCTCACCCAGCCGCTCCGCCACAGGCGGGTTCAGGCAGATGCTCATCACAGCCCAGCAGCCGACATTCTATGTGCACTTCCTGGACGGCGGAACCACCAATCAGGTGTAAGCAATGATCTGATTGGTGCTAAATTGTCCAATCAGCCACAGGACCGTTAAAAAAAACTGTCCAATCAGACTTGTGGGTGGGGCACCCTGCGACGGGATGGGGGCCGGGCCAGAGGGAGCTGAGGGACCCTGTTCCAGCTTTTGAAGGCATTTCTGGCCTCCCAAGAAATGAAAGACCAGCAGCCGACTTTGAAGCAAGAAAGAAGAAATGAAGCATCCAGCAGCCGATCTCCCAGGAGCGAGGGAAGCCAAAGTCCTCTGGCAGAGGCTGGGCCTCCCGTCCTGTCTCTGCACCCCCGGACAGGAGAACGTTGTCTACTTTGGCATTGTTGAGTTTAAAATTTAAAGAAGCTGAATAAAAACAGAGTGAAGAATAAAAAATAATAGGATGACATAGTGGGTAAGGAGAAATCAACGAGTTCACAAGAAGACACAAGAGAAGACCCCCCCAAATGGCGTGTGAGGGATGGAAAGAAACGACCCCACAATTAAACCTTGTTGACTGGCCTCCATGGGCTCCAAGGAGAGGAGCGGGGCTCCCCTTCAGGGACAGATATCTGGACAGCCCGACCTGGAGCTGCTCAGACTGGGGGTCTGGGACCTGGCTCCCTCCTCCTGCCTCCCAGACCTGGGCGGGGAAATGGGGGTTTCAGTCCCAGAAAAGTTTACAATATGCTCTCAAACTACATTGTAAGTCTCCAGGAATAAAAACACACAGACCTTGGAACATAAAGGAGAGCCCAGAAACCCCTTCCCCAGGAGCATTCTCAGCCACTAAGAGGAGCCAGGAGCAAACACGGGGAACCTGCTTCCATCAGCAGAGCCAGAATGTGGGGGTCCCGCTCAGGCATGAAACTGGACCCCTGGTAACTTCATGCCCAAAAATGAACCCCCATGTTCCCCCAATTCTCCACACCCAGCACTTCCTCCACTGGGTCCTCTGACTGGATCCCCTCAGCCATCAGCCACCCCCAGGAACATGTTCCTCAATTTCCCCTCCCTCCCTCGGGCTCACCTCCTCCACTGGGGTGCAGCCAGGGCCCTACTCCAAAGCACAGACGCCACCTAGCGCTGGCACTGGGTCCTGAATGACCAGGTTCCCACCAGCAGGAACTTCACTCAGAGAACCCAGAAGGCAGCCATGCCAGGTGAGAGAGGCTGCTGGGTGGAGCGCACATGCCTGGTCAGGGGGGCAGGGGTAGGTACTGGGCAGGTACAGGTGAACAAGACTGGACACACCTGGGCTCCCTCCCTGGTCTCCTGTCACAGTGTGACAATTTAAACATTCAAAGTGAAATGGAGGCAAATAGCCCATGTCTTCTCCAAAACTAACGTTAACAAAAACTTCAGGAAGCCTTAAAATGACAAAACATGTCTACTTGAGTTTAGTAATTCACTGCTCCTCCTCCCCCTTCACTCCTTCCTCTCAGCATTTCCTCTTCTCCCCTCTTGGCCAGGAGGCAGCAGCCTCCACCCTCATCTCCTTTACTTTGCCCTGCAGCCCCTCCTCCTCCAGGGTCTCAGTCTTGCCCCACATCTGTGTCATCTCTGTGGGCTTTTGTCATTTGAGCCTCCCTTCTCCCCACACAATGCACCCCTCCTGTCTCTGCTCTTCCTTCCTAGAGGCTCATCCTTCCCTCCTCTTTCTGTGCTCCCTGATCTTCAGTCACTTCTCTGTGTTTCATTTGGGCTGGACCCTCCCTCTCTGTCGTGATCTTGCCATTCAGCTCCTTGGCCTGCTCCTCCTCCCTCTCTCCTCTGCACTGTGCCCTCCCAGCCTGTCCCTTCCCCAGGGCTCTGCCCTCATTATTCCCCACTGTGGCCTTCGCCGTCATCACCACCAGGTGGCGCACTCCGCCATTTCCCTGTGCTTGTGACCCAAGACCCTTTAAGTTCCCTGGACCCTCCACCCTTCCTCTGTCCTTCATTCATGATCTACCCTCTTATTGCTACATTTCATGAAATGGATAGTCAGTCATTGTTTAACCATCCCCAGGATTTTCATTTAGAGTATTTCCAAACATCTGTTAAAATAAAGAAGGGGTACAAAAAAGAAAAATGATGTAAAAATTATATAAAATAAAATAAATTAAAATAAATTAAAAAAAGAAGAAAAAATAAAGAAGTGGCTGGTCAGCAGGTTTTTTTTAAAGATTTACTTCTTTATGCATACAAGATCTGGGGTGTAAGCCAAAGGTGAGGGGGTGTGTTGAGAGGATTCACCATAGAGAGTGGGGAACAGAACAGGCAGATTGACTGAAATACACTGCTTCGGGGAGCAGCTGGTGATCAGTAGAGGTCTGCTAGGCCATGTGTGTACCTCCCTGGCCAAGGATCACACTCCTGTTGTAGGGGCTATGAATAGCTTCATAGGTTGTGTCTTAACCCCTTTGGCCACCTCTGCACACACATCCATAGTGCACTGTGCAAGCTAGGGTTTTCTGAATGGTATGTTATTATGCTAAATTTTTACATTTTAGTGGTTTGAAATGACTATGTTAATCTTTATGAATCTTTGCAGCAAATTATTAAGATACTTAGCAATATGTCAGAAAACACAAAGAATGCTCAGGGATAACATGGTATTGCATTTGATTCATTTGTTTATTTTGGCATTGTATTTTATAAGTGTAAATTACTGAGAAAATTTGAAATGAAATGTCTTGGGTAAGTAAGGAGTGCCACAGTGTGGTCACAGCAGCTAATTTCATATAAACTTTGGCCAAAGATTCACTGAAGCTAAGATAGGATTATTTTGTTGCTATTAAAGCTACTTCTATATTTAACAAAGTACATTATTTTTGTATTATTTTACATTTCTCCTCCTTATATAATTTTCTTAATCTGTCAATTGCTGAATTTAATTTTTTCCCTAAAACAAGATTAATGTCATTATTAATAATAGTCCCACTACTGGAAAATGGTTAAACAGTTATTAAAATTTCATTTTATCTGATTTCAGATCCCAAACTTTTAATAATCTCTAATCTAAACTAATGATTTTAAACTAAAGAGGCTTTTCACATTTACAAAAAGCAGAAGAGACTCAGGAAGGTGAAAACTCTGTAGTTGGGTCTTTTCCAGCACCTGAATTTCTACAGCAGCAGCCAGACCCAGGAAAGTTGAAGAGGGCCCAGAAGACCATGTGATTTGATCACTTGCGATTTGATCAGCTGTGGACCTTGCGGGGCTCTATCTCCTGTGCTCAGAAGTTCACAACAAGGTGGAGACAGGTAAATAAAGAAACCCCTGGACAAGGAGTGGTGCTGAGTCCTGTGCAGGAAGAGCAGAACTGCAGGGGAAGCCAGGAGCACTGCCCCAGGCCTTAGGGTGAAGGGCAGGGTGGAGGCTTGGCAGAGCAACTGACTCCTGGATTTTTGAGAAATTCCAGGCTGAGAACAAGACATATAAAGGCGTGATCAAGAACGTGCTAGAGGGCCTCCCTGGTGGTACAAGGGGTTAAGTCTCAGCATTATAAAGCTGTCCACAGCCACTGCAGCACGAGTTTGGTCCCTGGCCAGGGAGCTGACCCACATGGTGCAGCAGACCTCTCCTGTCTTGCCTGCTACTCCCCTCAGCAGTGGATTTCAGTGGATCTACCTGTTCTGCTCCCCACTCTGTTTCTGGTGAATCCTCTCATCCCTCACACCTCTGGCTTGTACCCCAGTTCTTGTATGCATAAACACATAAATCTTTAAAAAAAAAAAAAAAAGAACTTGCTAGTAGATGGCAGTTGATTCTCTAGTGCGTTGGACAGCTCATTCACGTCCAGGTTTTCATGATCTCTTTCTCATAACTGCATGAAATTACTGTATATCTTTAAGTTGCTTTGCAGTATAAAACAAGGGGAATATGAGTTAAACACATTATGGAAAGCAATCTGGATTTACTTTTAAAAATGAAAAATTGAAATACCCTACAGCCCTGTAATCCCATTCTTGGGCAGATATCCACAGAACAAGAAACCCCTTATGTTCCAGGGTCCACAACAGCATTATTTATAATAGCATGGACACAGAAGCAGCCTAAATGTCGATAAACACATGATAGGGTCAGGAAGGCTGTATATCCACACCAAGGAGTGTTAAAGAGTCGGAAGAAAGGTGAAATGCAGCCATTTCTAACAAAATGGAGACAATTATGTGCAGCAAGGTAAGTGTGCATGATAAAAACAAATACTGGACAATTACAAAGTAGACAATTCAATTATACGAAGCAGTTCCAAAGGAGTGGACATTAGGTGCCTCCCTGGTGGCACAAGGGGTTAAGATGCAAGCTATGAAGCTATTCGTAGCCACTGCAGCATGAGTTCTATCTCCACCCAGGGAACTACCCACATGGCACAGCAGACCTCTCCTGACTCTTTCTGCTGCTCCACTCAGCAGTGTATTTCAGTCAGTCTGCCTGTTCTGTTCCCCACTGTGTCTCTAGTGAATACTCTCACCGCACCCCCCCCCAACTCTGGCATGTACCCCGGTTCTTGTATGCATTTATAAATAAATGTTTAAAAAAAGTAAGTGAACATTGAACAACCAGACATTGAACAGTCAGTCCTTGGTGTGGCTCTGAGGTTAAAGGGGAGAGGGCAAGGGATAGGGGACAAAAGGGGAGGGCAACAGAATTCTCCAGACACCTCATGGTGATTTTTTTTCCTGGTTTATAAAATGTAAGAATAAAATCAAAATAGAAGTTTAGTTTGTATTTATTTATTTTTGGAACAGATGCTATGTCCACAGGATTAAAAAAGTGAATGATCACAAAAAGGTGTAGGTGGGAGAACCTCCTCATCCTGTCTTAGGAAAAGGAACGAATGGTTGAGGCACGTATTTAAAAATTAGTTACATTATTGTAATCCAGTTACATAATATTGATATTTCATCCATGATCCCAAGTGCAGGCATGTCCTGAAGCTAATTCACTGGAGCTACAGAACCTCCTCTGCATTAAATGACTGAAGCACAGGTGGACAATTTCTGGAAGAATGCTGCCATCCAGTGGCAAAATTGAGAAGTGCACTTATATATGATTTCAAGTTTATATCCTGAAAAAATGCTTGTTTTATACATTGAGTATTTTCCTATTCACTAGGAAACAATTTTGTTTTTAATTTCAGTTTAGGGGGCTCAAACAGTGAAAACTTACAGCTTTCCACTTGATTCTCAATGAGGTAACTTCTGTAAAGAAAAATAAGATCCACAAAGATATTTTACTTGTTAAAGGTTTTATATAAATTTTCTCGTTTGAATCTTCTTCTGAGAAAAAGAAAATAGCTTTCCCTATTTGTAGGTAAAGAAACAAAAGTATAACAGTAAGTAATTCACTGATTATTGTTATGCAAAGAAGTGACCCAAGTCAAGAGGACTTCAGGTCTGGTCTCTTTTTTTTTATGTTTTAGAGACTTGTCATATGGTTCTCTCTCCTTATCAAAGTTAAGGGAATGCATGTAAGAGCTCTGAAGTAAGTTTGAAATTTGGAAGGTGTAGGTTTTCTTTTCTTCTTATGTGTTCACTTTGTTTTATTATTTATTTCTGCACAGGTGCCAACTGCTATAGCAAGTGTCAGACACTTTGGGAAGTACCCGGGCACAGATCAGAGGAGGGATGTGGAGCTGGGCCTTGGTGGAGAATCATTGGTCCTCAGAACCAACCTAGTCACATCCTAGAAGTGAGCAGGTTAACAAAAGTCAACAAGTCCACAAAGGGACGGGCCCTTCTACAGAGAAGACTCCAGCAGGCAATCTCTGTCCCTTCAGGGGCAGCTGCCTCCTGCCCGCCTGGGCCCATCCAGGTGCTTCTCACTGCCAACCTGCTGCTTTACAGGCAGCAAAGACAGCTCCTCCCGAGGCTGCTGCTGGGGCCACACAGGCCCCTCTCAGCAAACCGGTCTCTTTGGGGGCAGCTCTTTCTGCCTGCTGCGTCTGTGCGGTGTCCTTGTTCTCACTCCCTTTTTAATAAACCTGCCCTTCTGGATCCAACTAACACCACTGTCTTGAAAAACTCAATGGTGCTGCTGTAAGGGGAGCTCTGGGGAAACTTTTTCCAGAGTTAACCCAAGGACCCCACTCTCCGAGCCCAACACTCCCAACACTGACTTCAGGTCACTCCACACAGGCTAAGGTAACAATGGGCTCCAGGCTGCAGTGGGAAGAGGGGGTCAGAGTCCAGTGGTCTCTCTAGACTGAGACAGAAAACAGTTTTGAGAAGCCAAGGTGGCTCGACTCTGTGCAGGGAAAGACCCAGGAGGGCGCAGCAGAGAGGGGGTTCCTAGAATTTGAGGGACTCCTGGGGAGCTGGATAGCGTCTGAGAGGATCCTCACATGCACCCAAACCATCTAGCACTGGAGAGAGATCCTGTAGGGTAAGTGAAAAATTATCAGGCTTTTCCACCCTCCTGCCATTAACATTAATAGTGGATCCCTGCGGTCCTACATGCATGCCTGATGGCGGCACCTGGAGCAGGGTATGGGCATGCATATGTGGGCACACCCAGGCATTTTTCACGGAAGGAAAATGGCCCCTCCCTGCAGTCCCCACACAATCAAGACTCATGACTTCTTTTGGATTTGACTCTGGATTAGACTTTTGATTTGGCTTTAGGGAACATTCACCATGGGGAAGGCTAGAAGCTTTCAGGTCACTGTCTTGGGAGCCCTCGCAGTGAGGGGGGCTCTCTGGACCCTTGACCTTCCAGATCATGTGCACAGCGTGCACCCCTTCAGCAGGCTTTCGGCAGCCTCAGCCTCCAGGCCACTGGGGCCACAACCCACACCAACTCCTGGATATTCTGGTCTAAGGGGCCCTCTCTCCCAGCACAGTGCAATCTTCAGCTACCAAAGTGGCACTGGTGCATCCCCCCTTCCTACATTGTTGGGCTGTTGTGGGGGTCTGGGTTTCTTCATGGGTCAAGGGCTTGGGATCCAGCAGGCCAGGTGTCTGAGTACCTGCCATATCTTGCGTCAAGGTGCAGGGCACCCTGCTGTGCACCAAAGTCCACAAAACTGCAGGACATTGTGTTGGGTGCTCTCTGGACACTGAAACTATCCCCTGCCACAGCTGTGCAGATCTGCTTCACCCCCAGATACCCATCCCTGGGGGGAATGCATGTGGCTAGTTGGAGCTTTCTGTGATTTTTCGTGGGCAAGGGGCTGTCGTAAGTGGATGTGCTTCATTGATACTTTGCTGGTTGTTAATATGTAGGCAGGAGACCGCCCAGCTCACCAATACACCTGAACTCCTCACACCTGTTTTTTATAGGTTAAAGGCCAGCACATGACTGGCCCCCAGGGTCTGTTTCTTCTGAGCTTTGTGACTCTCCAACCTCATTTTATAAAATCACTTCCATTCACTCAATACTCCAGACACACTGGCTTTCTTTCAGTTGCAGGGGTCTACAGTGCTCTTGCCAAGTATTAAGGGTGGAGTTTTAGATTGTGGATAGAAAACTGTTGGACTAGAAGCCAAATATGAGTGGGCCAAGCTTCAGGGAGATGAGGGTAGGTAGAAAGAGTCTTCCAGCCCATGGAGTCACCTCCATGAGACCGAAAACCAGGGTAAGGTGCCCAGCCAGGTTAATCCTCACCACATGACACAGAACAGGAATGTTGGGTTGATGGAACATAAGCCCCAGAAGCACCGTGGCAAGGAATTGGATAGAAACCTAAAAAAAAAAGTTCTCAGTAGAAATTTCAGTTACATGAATGGCATGCTGTAGGGTAAGGTAAAAGGTATCAGGCTTTTCTGCCCTCCCGCCATTAGGATGGATGACGGAACCCTGCGGTCCTGAGTGCATGCCTGATGGCGGGCACCCGGAGTAGGGTGTGGGCATGCGTAGGTGGGTACACCTGAGCTAAGAGACTGATTTATAAGGGTGGTGCAGCAGAGTGCGGTGTGGTGGTAGTGCGGTGTCGAGGGTGGAGGAGTGGAGTGTATGGAGGAGTACAGCAACTACAAACAACGGCGAAGAGCATGTGGCTGCTGGAACCTTTCCTAAACCTGCCCGGAATGGGTTGGTTGCTTTACACATGCAGAGCATCTTATGTTTACTAACACGCAAATGAAATGGAGTTTTCTTTTGCAATTATGTATGGTGAGTCCTGTCACTTGTCCCTTTGCCAAACTAACATTCACATGAGCAGGAAACATGTCATTATCATTTAATGACCCCAGTTGCTCTAGGCTGGGCACATAGATTGAGTTACAGGTCAGAGACGCCTAGGCTCACATCTCTCCAGGTGCGTGGTGGGGGCAGGGAGCCGTGGTCACAGGAGTGCTCATTGGGTTTAATGGCCCCACTCAAGTTGTGAGAGGTTTGTCCCTCAAGAACAGGGAGAAGAGCAGGAAGAGTTGTGCACAATGACAGAAGTACATGTTAAGACATAAAATGATTCCACAGTTCAATGACTATTTCATCGCGGCATTAACTCATCTATACTTCACAGGCTGGAGACTGGGGAGCAAGCTGGCAGAAAAGCTGGTGTTTGGAGGGGGGGCTAGGAATTCGTAAGTAGATGAAGGGAGGTGTGAGCTTTGAGTAAATATAATGTGGTAAAACATCAGTATGTGAAAACAGGGAATTTTTAGAAAATGCCTTTTAGTGTGTTATGCTAAATGCAGACTTGAATGAATATCAAAACCCTGAAGAACATCAGGGACTTTCAGGTAGAGGAGTGTGAACCTGACTTACCAACGGCTGTCCCATGGGTTAGAGGACCTTCTGTGAGTACCTTTGGGGTTATTGGGAGAGGAGGTTGGCAGGGGGAAGGCCCGTACAGCCATCCCAGGCTGGTCAGGCTCACTGTTGATTTGGGCAGGTGGATAAAGGAGTTTTGGAGCCCCTGGTGGATTTGATAGGCCTTTAATGCTGAAGCAGGGAACCAGGCACATAGGCACACCAGGCTGGGGGTGGTGAGTCTGCCAGCCACGGAGCCTCCCTGCCCCCCTCCCCCATCCTGCGATCTACACCCCCTCTTTCTCTGTCTCTGACCTTCTCTCTCGGTCTCCTTCCTCAGTAGCCTCTTGCTCAGTGAAGTGCCAGCAGGCACAGGGCAAGTTCTCTGTTGATTCAGGCAGGTGGATAAAGGAGGGTCCTGGAGCCATCAGTGGCATTTTTCAGCTTCTAATGATCTTACTACACCATTTGTAGTGAGACAACCAGGTACAGGGCAAGCAGGGATGAGGATGAGGAGGCTGGGGCAGGTACAGGGCAGGTTGGGGGATGAGGAGGCTGGTAGGCCTAGGTCCCAGATAATCTTTATAATTTCTGGTCTCTTTGGTGTTTTCTTTCATGGTCATTCTGCTGGTCTCTACCACTCTCCACTGCATTCTGCCACCAGGTCCTCTAGCCCCCTGCACCCCTCACCGGCCTCTGCTGCCCCCTTATACACTCAGTCTCTCAGCTTGGGTGTGCCCACTTATGCACGCCCACACCACACTCCAGGTGTCCACCATCAGGCATGCATTATAAGACTACAGATGTCAATCATTGATGCTAATGGTGGAGGATGGAAAAAACCTGATCACTTCCGCTTACCTTGTACTCAATTTTGCGTCCTGTCATCTTGCTCTTACAGGTATGCACCCCATGCTCTCTGGTTTCTTGGCCTGGGTGTGCCCAAGTACAGGCACGAGTGCCCCATACTTACACTCCTAGCCCCAGGTGTTTGTGTGTGCTCCTGCTCGCACTCCCAAGCTCTTTTTTTAAAAAGATTTTTTTAATTTTTTATTTATACAATAGCTGGGTATAGGCCAGAGGCGTGGGAGGGTGAGAAGATTCACCAAAGACAGAGTGGGGAGCAGAACAGGCAGACAGACCAAAAGCACTGCTAAGGGGAGCAGCAGGTGTGACAGGAGAGGTCTGTCGTGCCATGTGGGAATCTCCCTGGCCGGCTGCTGTGCCACCAGGGAGGTCCCTCGCAGGCACTTTTTGCACCAACAAGCTATCATGCATGGGCAATGAAACACGGGAGGAAGCAAGGCCGCAGGTCCCAGCCATAGAGCCTGGTGAGGGAGGTGGAAAAGAGCTTCAGTAACTCCATTTTCCCTACAGTCATCATAGTCATCCTGAAGGGAGACCTGATTCAGGGGTCCATAGTAATGGGATATAAGGGAGACAGCTGTGATTGGCATAATACAATAGTGGAACAAACATGTTTACTGAACTGCATGGGACTCCTTTGGTTTAAAATGAACCATCCCTACTTGGCTTCCGTCACCACTGCAGCTTTTTGCAGATGTGTCTGTTTTGATGGACTATGCAGGCAGGTGCAGTGCTCACGGGCAGCAGAACCCTGCTGGGAGCCATGGTACATGCAGGAAAAGAAATGAAAGTGTTTTATTTTGACGTTCAGCTTGTCTACTTGTTCTTTTGTGGATTGTGTTTTTGGTGGTGTTAAGCAATCTGGTTTAGATGAAGCTCATAAAATTTTTCTGTTTTCTATTAAAAGGTTTATATATTTAGTTACATTTAGGTCTATAGTCCATTATGAGTCAAATTCTACATATAGTGCAATTTCTTCATCAGATTTCATTTTGCATATTGTAAGGAAAATGCGTTTATCAGGATCTTTTTTACTTACCAAAGAGAAGATAGTCCTTAACCTTGAAATATATCAGTTATATTTTCCACCTTTCTGAGTAACTTTGAAAGTGCCTTCCATCTGCAACAATCTGTCAGTTGTGTGGTTGTGGGTGCCCAACAGTATAGAGGGGGCTAGGAGGCTCAGTTGCTATTTAGTCTTTTGCCTCACTCTGCCTGCCTGTATATCAGGCTGAATATCAGGCCCAGTTTCAGCACGTCAGTCTCACCTAAGGCTCCAAGATCCATTTGTCCAAATCAACAGTGAGCCTGCCAGTCCTGGGATGGTTGCATCACACATATATATTTCAAATTGATAATAACTTGTTGAAAAATCTGATCTTTTCTTGTTACTGAACTGTCCTTACACATCACTGAATTCTTACACCTTTTTGAA